AGAGAGAGAGAGAGAGAGAGAGAGAGAGAGAGAGAGAGAGATGAAATTTTGCACTCCTCAAAGGCAGAAATATTTCTGGCCCTCTGTCCTGCAGACATGGCAAATGGAGTTATCACAGACATAAAACACAATGAATGCTTATTTCGATGAATGGGTGTGGGCAGACAGTAGACTGGATACAAATACACCAGATCACATCTGCTGTGAGTGTGTGATGATGCTTCTGCACCACACAAACAGATGAGACTCATCAAAACTTCACATGGAGAAAATTCTCTTGTTCCTCCCAACTTAAGAAAATCTTAGTTTCTTCTGTGAATGTTTTTAATACAATTAATAAAACAAGTGAAATTCTGTTCCCTCAAAAAGTTTGGGGAGTCCAAATCAGTTTAGCAACCCAAAGGGCTTGCCTCAGCCTTATCTGAATGCTGGGCAGCAGCCCACAGCTATTTACTTGCTTTATTGTTAAGGGGACAATGACTGCACAGGCAGGCAGAGGGGCTGGCATTGGGGGAATTGCCAGGAAATTTCACATAGTTTAAAACAATCAGAAAAGTGATATCCAAATTCTGAACAAATAATTATGTAAATTAAATGAGCCAAAGAAACTGAAATCTTACATTCAGAGGCCTCACGGGTTATTGTGTTTTTTAATCGACTGCAGGAATGATTGTGTTGCAAAGCGATTAACACTGTGTTTGGGAAAAGACACCAGGGAGAACTGGAGTCATCTAAACCCAAGCACAAGCTGCTGTAGTCGCATCAAGCCTGAAGCAGTCTCTCGGGGGCTTGCTGTTCTTCTTAGCAGAGGGGACAGGAAGCTACTCTGGGCAACACATTCTGCTGTCAGCGGCAGTCAGGTGTTTGGTACCATTCCCACATGTTACCATACATTCTTCTGCAAACTGCATCTCTCTGGCTGTTCTCCAAGCCAGAGAGAACTCCCAAGTGGGTCATGTTTAGCAAGAGATGAAACATAGTCTCTTTTTCCTCAGCTAACTCAAGGGCAAGAAGCGCTTTGGAGTAAAAAGCTTCATTTATGCTGTGCAGGGACAAGGTCTCCTCCCTTATAGAGGAAATCTAAGAGTTTTCAAAGAGAAACATAACATAGTTCAGATTCAGTAGAATACAGCATACCTCATTTCATAGCACTTCACAGATCCTGTGGTTTTTACAAATTGACAGCTTGCCACCATTTTCCCAACAGCATGTGCTCACTTTGTATGTGTGTTTCACACTATTGTGCATTGGTATTTTTAAATTAAGGTATATACATCTCTTTTAGGCCTGGGCAGCTGCACATTGATTAGATGGTAATATAGTATAAATGTAATGTTTATGTGCACAAGGAACTCAGAAAGTCTCATGACTCATTGTATTGTGATGCGTTCCTGCTGTGGTCTGCAGTCAAACCCACAATGTTTCCAGCAATGTCTGTAGAAAATTCTTAATCAGAGTCCAATAGACCATTGAACACCAGCTCTGCATGCTTTCCCTAGGATCGATCTTTCAGTCCCTTTCTCCAGGCTCTGAGCTCACTGAGCCAGAGACAGTCCAGAGTGCATCTTCTACTCCATTCATGCACCTTTAGTCCCTCTCTACACTGGGTCACATAGAGTCATTTGTTTTCAGTTCTTTGAAACTAGCTGCTTGTGTTTGATGATGATTTTTTAAAATAATTTATTGAGAATTTCATACAGGCATTTAAGCATATAAGCATAAGGTGTTTTGATCAAATCCATGCTCACTCCCTCCCCTCCAACTCCTCCCATATCTGTCCATCACTTTTTTCTGATAATCTTCATGTACTCTTTCTTAATTTTTTATAGGGCTTTTTGCTACTCTAACATTTCCCCCTCTGAAGAGGTAACTATAAAATCTTTAAAGGGTTCTAAAAGAGCTCCCAAATACTTTCAACATTTTTGGCCTTTGGAATGGAGTATGTTGCTAAGAAGCCCAAGGACATTTTGACTTTTAGCCAAGAAACTGGCTACTTTTCTTTAGGGTCTTTTTACACTAACTGCCTAGCCAATTCCTGCCTCCTATTCTTATCATACCATCCTCCGAAGAGGTTACCCAACTTGTGGATAGGGAATCAGAATGCAGACCACTCTGGCTTCTTCCATGCTGAACAGGGACTCAGGGTGAGGCAACTGGGTTACCCCATCAGTGGCACTATCTAAAAGACGCCTAAATTCCTTAACTCTTATCTGTAGGGGGAAAAGAAAGTCCTTGATGGTTAATTGGAGACATGAAGGTGAAGTAAAGGCAAGAGTAATTAGCATTACAAGTTCTAGACAGGGAACTAGAAAAAAGTCAGAACAGGGCAAATTTCAAATGTTCATATGAGAGTCCATTGGAATTTCTTGACAAGACCTTCCAAAAGCATCCCTCTATTGGGTTCCTTCTCATCTTGATTGATGTTGATTTTTAAGACTAAACTGGAGTTACATAATGTTCTTAATAACCACACCTAATTACTAACCCTACAGAGGCAAACTGGAGTTGCTTCCTTGACATTCAAGAACGGTCAAACAAGTTCGATGTCCTGCCACTGGGTAGCCTAGCTTTGGTCTGGTTCACAACCACTAACCGTGGGTCCATAGCAGACCTTGGTCTTCGTTGCATGTTAGCTAGATCTATGCTGTCCATTGCAGCACAAGCCATGTGTGGTTATAGAACCTCTAAAAAGATGAAGGTCTGAGGAGCTGAAATGCACTGTAAGTCTAACATACAAGCTCAATTTAAAGCTGATATGAAAGAACAACTTGCTTGTTATATGGATTATATGTTTGTCTTCCTTCACTTTCTGATGCTATAACATAAGGTCTGAGCGCTAATAATTTTTAAAGAACAGAGATAGATTATTTTATTTATCTTTGTACTTCTGGGAACGGAATTCAAGGCCTTACTCTTGCTAGGCAAATGCTCTATGACTGAGTTACCCCCTCAGAACCTGGAGGTTTGTTTTGCTCCTGATTCTAGAGGCTGAAAGTCCAATAACACAGCCCTGCCTGACCTCTGCTCAGCATCTGGTGAGAGCCTTCTTGTTGTGTAGAAGACGGTAGAGGGTAGAGAGTACCCTATGGAAAGATTAAGCAAGCCGCTAGCCCAGGTTCCTCTTCCTTTTCTTCTATAAGCCACTTTTGTGATTTCATCCAATCTGAATTACCTCCAAAGGCCCTGCCTCCATTCTACCACTCATACATGAACTTGGAGATTGAATTTCCAATACATAAAACTTGAAGGATACATTTAAACCATAGCAATATTAAAATAATGTTGGAATGTAACTGATATGTTTGCTAGTTTTCCATTACTGCGTCATAATACCTGAGATAATCACCTTGAAAAGAGGAAAGGTTTATTCTGGTTTGCAGTTTCAGACACAACATGGTAGAAGGAAAGAACTGACTTCTATAAACTGTGTTCTGGCCTCCACAAATACACTGTGGCATGTGCCTGCCATACACTTACACATGATAAATAAATGTAAATTTTTTTCAAAAAATTATACATGTGATGTTCATTACAGTTCTACTGGACAGGGCTTCATGTTATTTCACATACATCATAATATGTATTATATAGCATATATTATAAATCATATTTATGTTACACTGTTCATTGTATAAAATAAAATGATATAGCCTATATATTATATAGAATAACAGAACCATGTTGTTCAGTAGAATCATAGTAAGAGGGCTAGAGAGATGGCTCAGGAGTTAAGAGCACTAGCTGCTCTTGCAAAGGACCTGGGTTCAGTTCCCAGTACCATCTAGAGGCTAACAACTGTCCATAACCCCAATTCCAAGGGATCAAATACCCTCTTCTGACCTCTATGGACATTGCATGATACATGACACTGGTGTACTCACGTACATGCAGGCAATACACTCATGCATACATAAATGAACTATTTTATTTTTATTTTTATTTTACGTGTATGAGTGTTATGCCTGCATGTAGGTAAGTGCACCCATGTCATGCAATGCCCACAGAGGACAGAAGAGGCTGTCAGATCCCCTGGGACTGGAGTTACAGACAGCTGTTAGCTGCCATGTGGGTGCTGGGATTCGAACCCGGGTCTTCTGCAAGAACAGTCAGTGTTCTTAACCACTGAGCCATCTCTCCAGCCCCAATAAATGAACTGTTTTTTTTTAAAAAAAAGAAATACTGTAGCAGGGGCAACAGATCAGGCTCAACTCTAAGTACAGCACAGACAGTGGGGACCAACAAGAAGGGTGGGGAAGAGTGGAAGGAAAATTGCTAAGTGGACATAGAAAGGGCCAGGGATTCTTGTGGAGACTGGAAGATGAATGCCTGGCAATTGTGTAGTCCAACATCAAGACCTGGAGGGTGGTGTGCCTAGAACAGACATGGAAGTTTCACACCACTTCCCACATATCCTGCCTTGTGTATCTCTTCATGTGGCTGTTCATTTTTATCCTCTGTAATGTCTGTCAAAATACACTGAGAAATGTTAGTGTTTCCCTCGGTACAATGAGCTGTTTTTGCAAATTATCAAGCCAGAGAAAGGGCTCAGCTGAACCTCTAGTTCACAGCTACAATTCAGACAGAAAATGTGGTTACTCTGGGAGCCTACTGCTTGTGGTTGGTATATGAAAACAAGGGCAAGGGGAGTCTTGTGGGATAGAGCCCTTAACCCACAGGGTCAGCACTAACTCTGGTTCGTGTCAGAACTGAATTGTAGGATGTCCAGCTGATATTGACGAAATGGTAGATGTAGGGGAAAGAGGACTCTCATACACTGACTAACAGTATAGTATCTTGCAAATATAAAAGGCGAAAATACTTTGTTTTTTTTTTTCCATGTATAGCTTTATTTTACCAGATGAAGAAATGGAATCCCAGAAAGGTTAAGGAATTTACCCAAGGCCACAAAGGCAACATGCAGTCGAGCTGGTTTCTGTCCAACTCTATAGTCCATCAGCATTGTGTCTTCTGTGCACATTGTTCTGCTGCAGAAGTGAGTCATGACCACCCTCAGGTAGAACTAGAAAAAGGATACAAAAAGCATAACCACTGCTAGGCATGGTAGGACACGCCTTTAGTTCCAGCATTCGGGAGGCAGAGGCAGGCAGATCTCTCTGTGAGTTCAAGGCCAGCCTGGTCTACATAGCAAGTGCCAGGCCAGCTGGGGCTACAGGGAGACACTGTCTCAAAAAAAAAAAAAAAAAAAAAGGCATATCCAGACTGGCTGCTCTGAGAAGTCATCTTTGTGTTGTTCCTGGGTCTGGCTTCCTGCTTGCTGAAGCCACCTTCAGCATCCGCCGCCTCCTGGTAGCAGATTCCGGCAGCTTTCTCAGCAGAGTCCTCGAACTCTGACTTTCTTTTTCACCCACTGCATCGGATCACCGACATGCCCTGCCACCTCAGACGCCACAGTGGCCACCTGCTCTGAGATCACCACCAATGACTTGAAGGAGAAGAAGGCAGTTGTGGAGAAGGCAGAGAATGGAAGAGATGCACCTGCCAGAGGGAACGCTGATGAGGAAAATGGGGAACAGGAGGCTGACAATGAGGTAGATGAAGAGGAAGAAGGTGGGGAGGAAGAAGAGGAGGAGGGTGATGGTGAGGAAGAAGATGGAGATGAAGAGGAGGAGATGGAGACAGCTACGGGCAAGTGGACAGCTGAAGATGAGGAGGAGGAGGATGTTGATACCAAGGAGCAGAAGACTGGTGAGGATGAATACATGAAAGAAAATGTAAAAAGGCCACCGTGACCTATTCGCCCTCCATTTCTGATCTCAGAGTCTAAATGTGGTCTCCGAGCAGAGAGGCTGGCCGCAGATGACATGCACCCAAACTACAATGTGAATTTATAACAGGGAAGGAAAAAAGAACGAAACTTCCACGGCCCTGTTTTCTTTAAAGTGCTTTAAAAGGAAAATTTGTGTTCTTTATTTGCTTGTTATATTTGTATACATATTGTTAGGGGTCAGCCATTTTTTGGTCTTTGTTCTAGTTTGTCTCTGCATTGCTGTGACAAAACACTTTGGCCACTACCAATTTAGGGAGGAAAGGGTTTATCTAATCTTCCATCTCCCAGATCACAGTTAAGCAGGGAGCCCAAGGTAGGAACTCAGGGCAGGAACCTGGAGCACAGGCCATGGAGGAACACTGCTTACTGGCTTGTTTCCCTGGCCCCTGCTCAGCCTGCTTTCTTATGTAACACAGGACCACCTGCCCAGGGGTGGCACCACCGACAGTGGGATGGGCCCTCTGACATCACTCAACAATCAAGAAGGTGCGCCATGGACATGGCCACAGGCCAGTCCAATGAAGGCAGTTCCCCAGTTGAGGCTCCCTCAACCCAAGTGAGTCAAGTTGACACTAAAGCTATCCAGCACAATTGACTCCTTGTCAACTTGACACATAAACACATCACTATTAAACCGTAACTTCCAATTCTTGTCCCCAAGATATGATGTTAACATTAATACCACAATATAAGACAGTACAACCTTAAAAACCCACAGTCCTTAAAAAATCCACTTAAAAGTCCATAGTCTCTTTTAATAGTCTCTTAACTGTGGGTGGGCTTCTGTAAAATCCAAAACAAGTACCGTCTTATTTCAAAGGGAAGAATTGGGCACACCTAAGCAAAACCAAAGTCCAGCAAAGTAGCTCAAGGCTATACACCTGTGATTAATTCACAATCTTCTGGGCTCCAAAGGGTTCTGGCAGCTACACTTCTCTGACTCTGCTGTCCACAGCACACATAGCTCCTCTCGTAGACCCAGGCCAGCTCCATTCCATACCTACTGCTGTCCTTGGTGGTCGTCCCATGGTCCTGGCATCTCCAAAAAGGTGAGGTCTCCACCGAAACTCAGGCTACACCTTCACCAATGGCCTCTTCTTGCCTCTTGGGGTGCAAAGCCTCAGATTCTCTCCATGACCCTTCAATCCTAGGGTCTTCACTGCAACTGAAGCTGTACTTTCACCTATGGCCTTTCCTGGCCTCTCAGAGTGCCAAGCCTCAGCTGTTCTTTGTGATCCCTTCATGCTTTCAACACCAGAACCATGCAGGAGACTCTTACACATTACCAAGTCCTGCTTGAGATGGAGGCTCAGATCCCCTCTGTGTGCTGACCCTGAGGAAACACCTCCCAGAGGATTTTGCCACAGTGATGCTGGTCTTTTGTTACTTACAGCTGATTTTTCAGCCCCAGCTGACCAGCATCAATTGTCCCAGTAAAGCAAAGGTTTTACTTCAGGTTCTGGTCTCTTCTTAATCACAGCTGATTCTTCAGCCCCAGCCAACCAGAACCCACGGATTCTCAATTCAAAATATCTCACAAACAGCCCTGATAGTCTCTGCTTCCCTTTGAAGCTTCACAAGCCAGCCGTCCGTTGTCCACAACTCTTTCAACATAACTGTTCCAAGCTCCACAGAAACAAACTAAGCATGCAATGGATTTCCCAGCCCAAAGTTCCAAACGCTTCCACAATCCTCCCCTGTCAGGTCTGTCACAGCAGTGCCCCACTATCTGGTACCAATTTCTGTCCTAGTATGTCTCTGCATTGCTGTGAAAAAACACTTTGACCACTACCAACTTTGACCACTACCAACTTGAGGGGGGAAAGGGTTTATTTTATCTTACATCTCCCAAGTCATAGTTCATCAGGGAGCCCAAGGTAGGAACTCGGGGCAGGAACCTGGAGCATGGGCCATGGAGGAACGCTGATTACTGACTTGTTCCCCTGGCCCCTGCTCAGCCTGCTTTCTTATGCAACATAGGCCCACCTGCCCAGGGGTGGCACGGCACACAGTGGGCTGGGCCCTCCCACATCACTCAACAATCAAGAAGGAGCCCGTTGGACATGGCCACAGGCCAATCCAATGAAGGTAATTCCCCAATTGAGGTTCCCTCAAGCCAGGTGTGTCAAGTTGACACTAAAGCTATCCAGCACAGTCTTTTTTGAGACAGGGTCTCCCTGTAGCCCTAGCTGGCCTTGAACTCGCTATGTAGACCAGGCTGACCTCGAGCTCACAAAGATCCACCTGCCTCGGCCTCCCAAGTGCTGGGATTAAAGGTGTGTGCCACCATGCCCAGCTATAAGTTCACTTTTAATAAAATGCAGTGAAATGAGGCATGAAAAAGGAAACATAATTACCTGCAATACCGTGACTCAGAAATTACTTTTTAAAATATTTGTAAATATAATTCCAGATATCTCTGTGTTAATAGCTCAGTAGGTAAGTAGAGAGATAGAAGGAAAGATAGAGGAGAGAAAAATACACAAATATTGTGATCATAAAGCACATGTTATTTTTACTGAAAATATTTTTGATTTATTTCTTTATTAAAACAGAGATAAATTTGCAGTGATATTAAATGAATACAGGACCCATAATTCTCACAGCCACTTAAACTATTTTATACTTTAGTGAGTTTAATGCTAACATCAGCCCTTGTTATGTGAGTCTTTCCTGCTGTTTATATTTTGTATATATTTCTTCACTAGTAAAATTTCATCATTTAGATTCTTACCAGAAAGGCTCACATGCACTAACTTTTCTAAGCCATTGTAACTGCTCCTTCTGTGGTTCTAAAGCATTTTATACAGCCTCATACTTGTATACTATGCACTGTGATTACATCAACCCCACTACCCTCTTCATCCCCTTCCCACCCTGCCAACCCTTCTTCTCTCTAGCTGGCCCCCTCCTATGCTCATCTCTCTCTCTCTCTGTCTCTCTCTCTCTCTGTCTCTCTCTCTGTCTCTCTCTCTTCCCCTCCCTCTCTTCCCCTCCTTCCCCCTCTCCCTCCTTTTACTAAGGAGAAAGTCATGCAAGCAGTCACAGCTCCTGTGTTTATGAGTGCATCATCCATGTTAAATCCTAAAGTCTGTGCTGTACCACGCTCCTCACCAGCCTTCAGTTCCTACAGTCTTTCCACCCCCTCTTCCACCACGTAACAGAGGCTGTTCTTGGCACATAAGAAGCAGAGAGCATACAGAAAAGAGCCAGACACAAGATACAGCCCTAGTTCACAGCCCCAGTGACCTCCTTCCTCCAGGTAGGCCCCACCTGCTAAAGTTTCCAGAACCTCCCAAAATAATGACACCAGCTACTGTCTTGTGTCAGCTACTGAGAAAACATTAACATATGAGCTTTTCAAACCATAATAGCCTTCATTCTAGAAGTCCATCTAATCTCCCTGCTTCTCTTTTGAACAAGAATAGCCATCATTTATTATTGGGTAAATGAAGATTAATAAAACAGATATATAATGTGACAGGTTTGTTGGAAATCATGGCAGTGAGTCTCTGGGCTTCCACCCCTCTCTGAGCAACACTGAGGTAGAGGATAGAACAGTTCAGGTAACCTGCATCCCTGATTAATAAGTGGTTCTCTCATAGCAGTAAGCTAGAATTAGGATTCTGGCTTGCAGAGAATCCAGGGAGGCAGCCAGTTCATTCTGTCTTACACTTAGCAGTCTTTTCTGCTTTGATCATTCCATTCTGATTGTTTCATTACCTCTGGCCAAAGTCAGCCTCCAGAGTTCTCACTTTCACCTGCAACTTAACTTCCTCCCAGAATGAAACACCCAAAGAAAGTTCACACCAATCTATCCTCAGGGGAATGGTCTACTTCCAGAGCCCTAACAAGATAGTTACATGGCCATCTGGCATAGCTACTGTCCCCCACAGTCCTGTCTAGCTTGGAATTGAATCACCCCAATCTCTTTAAAGGTCCAAGTTGCCAAGAGTTCAGTGTGTGTGTGTGTGTGTGTGTGTGTGTGTGTGTGTGTGTGTGTTGCTTTATATGTATTCTCAATGTGGTTTATGTTTAATGAGTTCCCTAGAATATCTCATCTCAGGATGATAAGAGTAACATAATAAAAGAACCAAAAATTAGTTGTGGACTCATTATTGACCATGAAACTAGACTGTGTAGCTGGGAAGTAGGAACAAGCTTCTCCACAGCATGCTTCACCCAAATAATAAATGGAGAGAAATTACTCCAAGGAGCAGGGTCACTCATGTTCCATCTCTCTAACGTATATAATATAGGACTGTGTAGGAATGAAAGCTTCTGGTGGAAATAACCATAGAAATCTGAGGTTTTTAAAAATTTAATAACCACACAATTAATAGAAGCATTTCATTACAACAGCATTGACATAGTTGATACCAGTATCCAGAGCAAAGATGCATCTCTTTCAAACTGTAATTTTTTTGGTTCACAGTGTTGAATTAATACAATTATACATTATTATACTCAGTATAAACCCTATAAGACATAAAATTGAGAATTTAACCTTTAAAAAACTCCATTTCATTTTAAAATACAGTTTCATACAGAAAAACTCATTTTTAATGTAACTAACACTTAGATGTTTGCACATGCATCTCTAATCTATATATCTGATTATTACTAGTCACAATTGGTTACTTTCTGAGATCCTTGGCAGCTGAACATGGATATAAAGTCATCAGGTAGATTTCAATGGTAATGTTTTTCTAATGTAATGTTATCTACTAATTAACATGAAGCAAATTTTTATGCTTCTTCCTCAACTATAACTCATTTATTTATATTTATTTATTTTTATTTTTGTGTGTATTTCATACAGAACATCCCAAACAATCTTATTCATCTTTATACCCACATCTCAAAAGGCATCCTCCCATAGTCCCCCCCACCCACCCCACTGGAGCCCCTATACTCTGTCATCCCTTTTACTGTCCACTGTATTGTCAGTGCCCCCAGTGG